GTAAATAAGTAGTTACCTACTTTTATTTACTTAATAAATAACTACTAGTACCTACTACGTACACTAACTACTACTACTACCAACTACTCTCTTCTCTCTCTAATATTCTTCTCTCTCTCTCTCTCTCTCTCTCTCTCTCTCTCTCTCTCTTATTGGTGAGAATACGGGGCATGCCCCAACCCTACGAGTTCTCTCTCTCTCTCTAGAATTTAGTAAGGGGCATGCCCCACTGGTTAGACCATCTCTCTCTCTCTCTAGGTTGGCCTAAGGGGCACGCCCCACCTAGATGGTATGATCTCTCTTATGTTATGATATCTTGATCTAAGGGTTGGGTAAAAATAAATAAATGCTTTCCCTCTTAAATTAGGTATTATGGGTTATACCTAAGTTTGAGATTTGTGATTAAGAGGAGTTCATAGTTCCATTGGAGGGTTTGACCTAAACTTGCTTTCCTGGTTGAGATTGAAAGTTGGTTATTGATTTTGCATTATCGGACGGTGGTGACTCGATGTGGGGTGTAATAAGTCCGGTTGAGGTAATTTCCAATAGTTTTTTTTTGTTTCTTACCATATTTAATTATAATATCTTTATATTCGCAAGCATAAGAATTGTGATTATTTTCTTTGTTTAATAAAAATTAGTTTAGTGACATCAAGGCTTTTAAGATATTCGGTTTGCTAGTTTTAGTTTCTTTGAAGCAAGAGTTTTTTGCAATATGACTATTGGAAGTAATCTTTGTCAAAAGAAAAGAAAAGGGGTGAAAAATATATATATATATATATATATACCGGCAAGCTCACATTAGGTTTTCTTTCAATCAGGTCCATGTCCGATAATATTTTTCGAATCCCAATATATGAAATATATTTAAATATAGTTCAATACATAAATATTTTAGTTTGTGGTCTGGTCTGCCTGCCACCCCTAATGAGCAATCAATCACTACTGCTACTCCAATATACCCAAAAGTCAATACCGATCTCAAATGAAGCCTAAGGTATAGATTAGGCCTTCATGCTCACGTCTTATAGCTAAGAACTAAAAACACTAAAGGAAAAGAAAAAATTGCAATTATGTGGTTGAGTTTTTTAAATTTCTAAAAATCATATAATATTTTAATTAATTTGGTTATTGCATGGGAGGCTCAATAAGCTATATGGGCCTACCATTGCAATGTGGGTGGGGCCAATGAGTGCCACCTAGGGTGGCACACCCCACTCTAAGGAGCTTTCCATTTTTGTGAAGATCAAGCTTTGGATTGAAGATAAAGTTATGTAATGTTTTAGAAAGCCTTTGCATTGAGGAAGTTTTGAATAGATTTTCAGAAAGCATGAGAAGGCTTGTGCATAATTTTGGTAAGCACGATATTATGATTGAAATTAATTTATTTAATTTTTATTGATGTGAAAATAGTTCAGGAAATGTGGGATAAAGGTTCTAGCACCTTCCATATGATGTTGATCGCCCATCTATGGAATGAAGGGTTTAAATCTCTCACCCCACAAATCACCCAAGATCAATGGTACATATTCAATCTCACAAAAAAGGACAAGTCATAAGAAACCCTAAGAAACCCTGATCCTATTTTTGTACTATAAATTGAGAATCCCATGCCCATAATCTCTACACTAAAATCTCTCTTCTCTCTTTAAATTTTTCTCTCTCTTATTGGTAAGAATAGGGAGCACGCCCCAACCCTAGGAGTTTTTTCTCTCTCTAGAATTTAGTAAGGGGCATACCCCAATGCTTAAACCATCTTTCTCTCTCTAGGTTGGCCTAAGGGGCACACCCCACTTAGATGGTATCTCTCTTATGTTATGATATCTTGATCCTAAGAGTTGGGTAGAAATAAATATATGCTTTCTCTTTTAAACTAGATTTTATGGGTTATATTTAAGTTTAAGATTTGTGATCAAAAAGAGTTCATAGTTCTATTGGAGGGTTTGACCAAAACTTGTTTTCCTTGTTAAGATTGAAGGTTGGTCATTAATCCCGCGTCATTGGATGGTTATGAAACGGTGTAGGGTGTAATATGTCTGGTTGAAGTAATTTCCAGTACTCTTTTTTTGTTTCTTGTCATATTTAATTGTATTGTCTTTATATTACTAAGCATAAGACTTGTGGTTATTTTATTTATTTAAAGAAAATTGGTTTAGTGGCATCAAGAATTCTAAGATCTTAGTTTTGCTAGTTTTATTTTCTTTGAAGCAAGAATTTATTGTAATAAGACTACTTGTAAGTGATTTTTGCCACAAGAAAAGAAAAAACAAAAAAAATGGGTGAAAGAGAAGAAAAATAAAAATATATATATACCTCGGCAAGATCACATTAGTCTTTCAGTCAGGTTCATGTTCGATAATATTTTTAATATATGAAATATAGTTAAATATAATTTAATATATAAATATTTTAATTTATGGGTCAGGTCTGGTTGGATCCGGGTCCGGCTGCCACCCTAATGAGCAATGAATGGCTACTGCTACTCCAATATGCCTAAAGCATATAGAATTAATGCTTAAAAAAAGAAAAAAAAGAAAAGAAAGAAAGCAGAGGTACAACCTCCAGCTAACCTACCAAAATAACGTAAGAAAGTGTCCATTATATCCCTCATCCAATATAATCTACAGTAGATGTCATCCCTTTTGTATATAAGCATGCCGTGCTTCACATGCAATGAGGTGCAAGGGAAAAAAATGTACAGTAGTACAGTTCTCTAAACTGCGAGTTTCAAAACTTAAACCATTACTCATCACCAATCGGCAAAGCCACAAGACCATGTGGTTTATGAATTGAGGTGATGACTTAGTTCTTCATTTCCTCTCTTTGCTATGGGAGGTTAATCTTAGGTTATGTGAGGGAGAAATCCCAAAGTTCATCAAACTCTTGACCTCCTTCATAGAAACACCAGTAAACCTAGCATCATAACAACAGATTCAATCAAGTTGTGAACTTTGAAGCCATGGAAGATGAGCATGAACAAGAACTACTAGGCCTACAAAACCCAAATCAAAATGGGGATCCTTGGCCATGGGAGGTGGCATTAGCGGTGGTCCAATTCGCGGTGAACCCGCCCCCGATTTGTGGCATGTCTTGGACTACTGCTGAATTCCGGTGGCTAACATTGTGAAGGTATGGCTCCCTTTGTGGGCTATTTGGTGTGCCGACCACCTCTTGAGGTAGAACCCCGACATATTGTTGCATGATGAGCACCGAAACGGTGGCAGCAAAGTCTGAGGAAGCAAGTAGGTCTCCAATGGGTCCGAGCTCTGGGCATTCGCTCCAATCTGTGAGCCCAGTGGTAAGGGAGGAGACCCGTTGGGCTCGACCCACCACGAAAAGGTCATGTATGCTATCCATAGATCGAATGGCTGCAATCGATTCTTCAACATTGTTTACCACCTTCTCTGTGTACATGATAGACTCGTCGCCCACTGTTCGAAGCCTGAATTCAGCAATGTAACCGTCGTCTAGATGGTGTTCCCTATCGTTGTCTGTTAGGACGGTGAGTATCCGAAGGTTCTTGGAATCGTCTTGATAGAGAGTGTCGGCCACTGGGAATTCGGGCTCTACAGCCTCATCACCAGGTAAGAATCGCACCACAGTGAGGCTGACGCCTGGGTGCTCTGCCATGCGAGATGCGTATGCTAGAGCCTCGCGATCGTCGGGGCCCCCAAAGAACAAGACTGCCAGATGGTGACATACATGGCTGGCAGAGATCCCAGTGGTGCCCCCAAGTCCCCGATCGATAAGTATCCCAACAGAGCAAGGGGCATTCACCAGGACATTTTGGTTAATCGTCCTAAAGGCCGGATTCGTGGTCTCCAAACCCCCGTCCACCGTCTGATGTTTGTGAAATGGCAATATGATCAACGCTGCACGCTTCTCCTCTGCCAAATTGCATATATCCTCGTGCATCGTTGCGAATGGCGACATTGCGGTCACAAGTTGTACTGCCACACCGCTCACACCGACATAGTTCTCAAACGCATTCACTATATGTTCTGACTCAGCTTCCGTCCGGTTCATGTGCCGGCCACTCTTACGGGAACTATGAACAATGATCATCGCCGACGACCGGCCGGTGAGCTCGACAAGGTGGAGGGCATGGACAGAAATTGGGGATTTCTTAGTGGCATGAGAGGCCTCTAAAAGGTTGATAATGGTAGGGACATTTCTAGATGTATGTACACAAACAAGCATTCGCAATAGGGACTCTGGTTTTCCTTTTTCAACTGTACGACGCTTATAAGGGAGGAAGCGGCGTGCCGGTTTATAAATTGTTGTGACCACTGGGGTGATCATGCCGGTCATGATCACAGCAGCTATGACCATGATGGCAAAGGATGACTCGTCCAAAACCTGCTCAATAATAAGATAAAAAAAAACAAATTAAGTCTCAAAAAAGAAGAAAAAAAAAAAAAAAGAGATGAAAGGTTAAATATAAAGAAAAATAAAAGGCAATGGAAAAACCAAGAGAAAATATCAATTAAATGTTCACATTGTCGAACCATCCCATTTTCATTTCACTTAAGTTTCTCCCTAAAAATATATTAAAAATGACCAAATTACCCATATTTATGATTGGAAATCCAAATAAACAGGGGCAGTTTGGAAATTTGGCCCACATAAGTGGGCCGAGCCAAATGACAAGAACACACTAGATTGTTCAAGGTTAGGCAGGCTGAACAAGGATTGAAAATAAAAAAAAAGTGAGTTATGTGTCGTCGACCCTGAACAATCAAGGGTATAAATGAGTTTCACAATTTTTATAGCTAACCTCGAATTTTGAGGAGTATTATTATCATTTAGCATGAGCGGCTTAAGTGGAACCAAATTACCAAAATCACCCTAATTGTTAAGGATTCATAATATTAAATAATACAATTTGGTCATCTTTCAGCATATTTCTTGAAGAGCTATCTGAATGAAATTAAACTTAAAAAAGTAATCGCTTTAATGTGAATTGAGATAATTTAATCAACTTAATGATTTTGAAAGGTCGTTTAACCATTTAGGTGATATTTTCCCAAATAAAGAAAATAACGTAGAAATATCTAGTAATAAATATGTTTTATTTATATTAAAATAAAAAAGGTGTATTTTTCTTAACAATGGTCATTAGTGGGTGATGTCCATATGTTTTGGGATTGTATTTAATGAGACCATTTATCTTTATTACAAGAAGGCCATAATTATTCTTATTCATTAGATATCAAATTGGATGGTTTGGGCTAGTCACGAAATCTTAGAATTTTCTTTTGTGAACTTTGAGTATTTTCAATGACACTCTTACAACCACCCAATTTGAAATCCAAGGGACAATAGTGATTGTAACCTCCTTCTATAAAAAAAAAAAAAGTCTCTTTATATACTTTTCCATATGTTTTACTTTATTTTATTATTAAAAAAAAAAAAACGCTACATGTGCCCAAGTTTTGTATGTACATGTCATCATAAATAAAAGAGAAAGTGATTCACATATCCCTGTGAATTTTCATTAGTTAAAAAATCTCTCCCACGGATTTCTACTATTACATTCATGCATACCTTTTTAGATTTCTACTATTACATTCATGCCCACCTTTTTAATCGCCAAATTGTCCCTACTTTTGAACTTCAAGGGATAATTATGCACCTCTAAGTTAGAGAAATTATGAACCCCGGAGAAACTTAGAACCTTCAATGTCCAAGTTTCTTCAACTTAGCTAACAAAAATTTTTTTTTTTTTTTTTTGGGGGGGAGGGTGACACACGTAAATAAAAATAATGGCCATGCTTCATGGACATTTTTTTCAAAAAGAAATTTATATTAATATTCCCCAAAATTACTAATATTAAAAAAAATCCTTACAGAAGTGTGCCATTATGTTCATACCCATTTTCCCCCCTAAATTGCATTTACTTTAGAGTTTGAACATTTGAAGTTAAGTTGAAGGTTTCGAACAACTAAATTGGACCTTCAAGGTCCGAAGTTGTCAACTTCAAGCCTTCAAGGTTTGAAATACGTAATGAGATAAACCAATCAAGTGATATATTAAGGTTTAAAGAAGGGCTGAAGTTGTCTGAAACCTCATCTTGAAGTCGTTTCAGACTCATCTTCAGACCTTCAACATAAAAAATGTATGAAAGGTGGATTTTAAAAGAATAAAAAACTAAATATAAACAGAATAACAAATTTTTAATAGAAATTTATTGAATAATGGATATCTCGGGGGATATCAGTGTAAATTTCCCTTTTTAACCCCCACGACCTGTTGCCTTCACATAACATCAAGGTAACAATGTTAACCTGGTTTTAGAAATCAGGAGAGTGAAGAACAACCAAAGAATTGATTTGAAAATTGGAATTGGGATCCGATTCATCAGGGGTACAATTACGATTCCTCCTCTTTGGCTCGTAGTTTTTGAGTCGGACTCAATTATGTTTAACACCAAGCCAATGGACCAGGATTTTACGCCATTTAAGAGTTTTCAACCATAATCACTCCAACCCCCCCCCCCCTTCTGGTGGGGACTGACTCGGGTGATTAATTAATCAAACCGTATGATTTTTGAAGGTACTCCAATTAATTAAAAAAAAAACTATGATAATGATGATGACGAACGATTTTTAAAACACTAGAGCAAACAACTTGAGGTATACTCACTTTTTTATCCATTCCAATATTGAGCACGATCATCTCAATGAGGCCCTTGGTGTTCATCAGCAGCCCAAGTGCAATCCCCTCGCGTGGCGTCATCTTCATGAACAATGCGACCACCAGTGTACCGACCACCTTCCCAGCACATGCTAGCACGATCACTAGCATCAGGATCGCCCATGTATCCTCATTTGTGATCGTCATGACGTTGGTCCGCAGGCCACTAATGGCAAAGAACAGTGGGAGTAGAAGCCCAGAGGTGAAGTCCTCTAACTTCTCTATGAGAGCTCCCCCCAAGGAACCGTTTGGAATGACGAGACCAAACATGAAGGCCCCGAAAACGGGATGAATCCCTATAATGTCAGTTGTGAAGGCGCAAACCATCACTCCAAGCATGATAGCGCATATGTAGATCTCACTTACGGCCTCGCCCTCCGTCGTCTTTCGGGTGACCCAAGTGACAGCGGGGCGCAAGACCAGTAGGCTGAATAGCACGAAGACCACACCGGACAGGACGACCCATACTGATGCCAGTGCATTTTTATCGCGATCATTTACTGCTATGGCCAGCGCAAGGAGTACCCAGGCGCATACGTCATTGATAATCGCAGCCGACATCGCAAGTCTACCGAGTTCTGTATTGAGGAGCTTTAGCTCGGCAAGGATGCGAGCCAAAACGGGGAAGGCAGTGATCGAGAGGCCGACGCTGAGGAAGAGGAGGAAAGTGACCTGAAAAAAAAAGAATTAATGTCTTCAAAATTAATATAGAGTTCCATGGAGAAAGTGGAATATTGTAAAAGAAAATTGTTTCATGTGGGCTGGACCCCATTTCTACAATATGGGGTTCAGAGGTATAAAGCATCCATTTTTAAGATGGATGCAAATAGGTGGTCTATCTAAAAACAACTGTCGTAACTGACCGGCCAAATGTTTTCTTAATATATATATTATTTGTAGTTTTCAATTATTATTTTTATATTCATGATCTTCATAGTAAAGATTATATATTCTCTAAAAATTAAAATCAAGTTATATTTAAAAATATATATTTATTATCAAGCCCGCATTTCTACAATATGCGAGCTAGCCACATAGAAACCGTCTCCGTTTGTAAATGAAGTACTGTAGAGAGAGATGCATCTATTCTTTTTCCTCAAAACTGGAGGCTTGCTCTTGTTAGTGAGAAAGAGAAGATACATGTATTCGTATTGGTGATAGAAATTCATTGCCACAGTAGAAAAAAAGGAAAAAGCACTAAATATGTGTGTATGAGAGAGAGACAAACCTGAGAGACATTCTCAGAGACAGACTCCTTGAGCAGGAAGGAGGAGCTGATGCCAATCACAAAGGGAATGACCATGCCAGCGCCGGCAATGAGTAAAGCCTTGGCTCGGGTACGGCGGATGACATTAATGTCCATCTCGAGGCCGACGATGAAGAGAAAATAGACGAGGCCGATGTTGGCGATGGTCTCCAGGACTGTCACACTGTGCAAGGGGAAAATGCTGCTGGCAAAGTTCTTGTTGCGGCCTAGGACCGAGGGGCCGAGGATTATGCCACCCTGATTAGAAAGCAGAAAGGTGTTCACATCCACACATGCACACACATATCTATATTACATTATTAAAGAGTAGATACATGTCGCGAAAATAATATGAAGCTCTTCAATAGAAATAAGGAGAGATACATGGGATAAACTAATAGATAAGAGAGATACATATGTGGGAGATTTTTGGAACAAAATTTTATGGATATAGAAAGATATTTTATAGATAGACAAGGTAACGAGATTTGAGAGAAAGGGATATGAATCTATTATTTTCCTCCCCATCTTTAGGAGAGAGATGTGAGAGAGATTTTTGGAAAAGAATTTCATGGATATAGAAAAAAATTATAGATAGACTAGACAAGGAGATTTGAGAGAATTGATATATATATATATATATATATATATGTGTGTGTGTGTGTTATCCTATTATTTTCCTTCAAATCTACTATCTTTATTTAAATTGTAGAAAATCTTTATAGTATATATTTTATTTTTTAAAAAAACGATTTTGCATAGTGTGAGAGGTTTTTACTTTCCAAAATGTCTCTCTATGTCTCTCTCAATGAAATCTTCTAAATCTCTCTCTTTCTATCTTTAATTGTTTATTTGTTCTTAATTGTTGACTTTTTTTTAGTTAAATGATAAATATCTATAGCTGATAGATGTCAATTTGATAGATTTTTTTTTTTCTCTTTCAAATGGTAATATATCGGACCTCTCTCTCTAATCGTTTATTTGCTCTCTCTTGAAAGTGTTTATTTGATTTTCAATATTTTCAATTGTTCATGTGTTCTAGCGTATTCCTTTAATTGCTTTTCAGGCTGCAATATTCTCATATAATAATTTTTGGGAATAGGTATGTATCTGTCTCATTGCATTCTTAGTTTTGTCTAATTGTTCCTGTGGACCTTTTCATACGTGCTCATATGTACAACCACCACCTCCTCCTCTAATTATTCATATGTTTGCCTAAAAATTAGGACAAAGGATAACATTTAGATATGAAACCCATGATAAAGAGTAATAGATATTTAATTATTATAAAATTAATGATTAAAAATAGTACCTTCAAAAATCAAATTGTAATTCAGAAAAATAAAACATAACATTCAATATAAAAGATTCTGAAAAATTTCACTAACTAATTTATTTAAGGATTTAAAAATTAGAAATAATATTAAAGATAATAAAAATACGAGCATTGGATATAGATTTTTTTTAAAGCATAAGAAATCATTAAAAATGGTATTTAAAAATCATAAATAAATCTTGAAAATTAATTCACAAAAAAAACAAATCCAATATAGTTTAATCTCACTGCTGATTTTTGTCATCTATATCTTGAGCCATGAATCTCTTTTCCTCTCCTATTTTTATGGCTTCAAAAGCACCACTATCATGATACCTAAAACATGTTGTCTTATGATACCTAAAACATGTTGTCCTATATTTTAGAGATTTATATTGGGTTATATAATCCAAAACCTACATAAAACCTAACATTCTATTATTTGGAGATGGAATTAAGTACGTCCTTCTTTTTTTTCGGTTATCTAGATTTTTCTAAGGCTTAAGACTGTATTTCTTAAAGCCAATGTCTCTACTTTTCTATCTTTAGATTATTTTCTCTAGAATCTAAGTATGTACACTTTTGTTTCTTTTTTTTTGTTAATTTTTTTTATTTTTCATACAAGCCATATAACTTAATGAGATCTAAGGGCCTACAAAGATTGTTTAGTTATATTTTTCCTATATGTTGTTCACCATTATTTAACACTAGCACTTTAGTATGGTTTGTGCATTGACAATTAGATTTCATAATTTCTTTTAGATATTTATTACTGCTTTATGCATAACGTATTAATAGCACCTACAATCGCATGTGCATGGTACTCGAGGGTATGTATGTGAGACCATTTATCTTTAGTTCAAGAAGGTCACAATTATTCCTAGCCACTAGATGTCCAATTGGATAGTTTGAGATATATCATGAAGCCTTTGGATTTATTAAAGGTGTTTTTCCCTTGCTCATATTTTTTGTATTTCTATTGTGACTTCTATAAAAATTTATTTTCTTTTATTTTTCTCCATCATATTTAAATTGATAATTTTCAGCACGTTTAGCCTTTGGATTTATCTGTTTAATTTTTTTCAGTTGATTGCCGGATGTTTCACCAAATATTGTGGTTCATAGAGATTGGAGACCCATTCTCAATCTGATACATTTTCTATTTATTTTTTGTTTTGTTATCAATGATCTCAAACAAAGCGAAAGGAAGAAGATTTTAAATTTATTATTTGTTTTGTTGTCAATGCTCTCAAATAACTCAAAAGGTAGTGTTGATATCAGCAGATATACATTTCCTAATATGAGAGAGAGCATACGACCATACCAAACTTTGGAAAAAGAGATAAGTAGAATGTGGGAAGAAAGAGATAGATATTTTTTACTAATACGATGTGGGTGATAATTTTAGAAACTATCTATACCATTTTAGGAGATTCAGATGGATTTGCTTATTCTAATCCAATGTCTGGTTTAGAAAATATACATCTTATATTTTAGAAATTAAATATGTTACATATAAAAATACATGGAAATTGAGAGATTTTAAGAGATGAGTAGAAAGAGAGAGAGATATATATTTTTTTGGAGGAGATTTGGATGGATTTGATTATTCTAATCCAACGCTTGGTTTAAAAAAAATAAATCTTAAATTTTAGAAATTAAACATGTTACATATAAAAATACATGGGACTTGAGAGATTTTAGGAGATGAGGGTAGAGAGAGAAAGGGAGAGATAAATCCTAAATTTTAGAAATTATATCTTTTAAGAAAGATATAAAGTCTGTGAGTGTGACTTTAGCCAGCACAAGAGCGCGGGTTTGAGTCCTGAGAGGGGTCGCTTTGTGCGTAAAAAACCAAAAGTTAGGACCGTCCATCTCACCTCTCCCGAGACCCTGCGTAGGAGGAACAGTACTGGAATATGGCCGTTTATCTTTTTAAAAAAGGATAAATTTCAAAAATTTGAAATTGAGTATATAATATAGAAACAAATATAGGAATGGATAGATTTCAGATGATGAGGGTGGAGAGAAAGAGAGCTCAAGTGCGGGAATTTAATTTTGGATTAAGACAATATAATTTTTCAAATATGATGGTCATATATAGTTTATATGGGTATTTATTTATTTTTATCTTATAATATGGAAGTGTTTTCTAATATTTTTAAATTATTTTGATGCAATATTATAATATTATATTATAATTAATAATTATACAGACATCTATACAGAAAAACAACGTCTTAGTATTCACCTATTTTTACAAAGTATTAAAGTAAAGAAGGTACATGATGCATCACTCTTAATTTCTTTTAGAAACTGAAAGAACACTATTTTTAGAGATTTATAGTGATTTTTTGAAAATGTTTTGAGACAAAACTTGTTGATTCAGCAGATTATCAGATCCAACACGTCGATCCACCGATCTTACACAATATGGGTGAGGACAATCCGGGTCTCCGATTCGTTTTTTTAAACCTTGATCCAAAATAAATAAGGAATGAAATGAGTATTTCATTTAAATAAAAGTATTTCATTATTTTTTTTGTTTTTCATGTTTGCCCTTTTGTTGAACGAGATATAGAGAGATAAAAGATTTAGAGGCTAGAGATGGGTCCGAAGTAGAAAAAGCATGTGCTCCAATGCATATTACGCAATTATTTACGTGATCGCTTATTTTATTTTTACGTACATTGCAAGTAGGATCGAAATAGGTAACCATGTAAATAAGAAATTGAGAGTAGCCTTACAAAAGCACATGCAAATATATAAGCACATCATTTTCATTAAGTTATACTTTTGAATTTACTATTTTTATGTTTTTTTTTGTTTTTTCTACACATTTATAATTGGGATTTTTATTCATATTGTTGCTCATTATACCCAATATACGTAGTTTTCGCGATTCATATATCATTGATTTAAAATTATGTAATATTGTTTTACAACTATTTTCTTTTAATTTCATTAAATTTTAAAATTTTTTTTTAATAATTATTATGTACTATTTTCTGCATAAATAAGACATTAATTATAAGAACTCTTAACAAGTTGTTATAATTTAAGAAAATATTTATGGCTTCGTTAAAAATAGATAAACTTATCCATGAATAGAAGTTCTTAAAATGAAAAAGAAAAAAAAAAACAAAAAAATTAAAATCTTGCATCATGTAATAACTACTAATAGAGTCTGATTTTCTATGATTGAGAAAACAGATACATAAATTTTAAAATATGAAGATATTAAAAATAAAACTAATAATACAAACAGAGAGTAATAGATGCATGAGTAAGACATTTAAAACTAAAATTTTAACAATTTTTAAAATTATTATTTTTTTAAATCATAAGTTTTTGGTAACTAAAAAAATGAAATTTTCGTGAAACTAGAATCTATTTTTGTGTACAGGACAATATATAATTGTAAAAAATTGTTTAAAAATTTGTTACTAAAATGAAGAAAAACGTGTCAAAAATTTTAAAATAATTTAAAAACTAATCAAAGCTCTTGATAATTTAAGAAATAAAACAAAAATGTAAACCAACATACCTTTAAATATATTTATGAGCATTACTATGCATAACAAATTTAAATTGAATCCCTGTACTATAGGAAAATAAGTAAATATAAATGGCCAATAGACAAAAAGTATAGGAAATAAGCCCATAGCAGCCACTATTCACCCAATTTTTTTTTATGGGAAGTCACTAGACCTTGCCGGTAGATGCATATGGTATTGTCATAGGATTTCATATAACATGACAAAATAAAAAAATATTTTTTTGAATAAATAATGGATCTAAAACTATGAAAATTATAGAAAATAATAAAGAATTAAAGTGACTAAAATTTATTTAAAAAAAAAAAAAGAAAAAAAGAAAGAAAAGGGAGTCTATTTATCAAAATACATCTAATTTTTCAATTATTTAACTGTTTACCTTTTTTCAACTATTCCAACTCATGTGTAGTTTATGAATATTTCCAAATAAAATCAAAATACATGAGTAAAGTGGTAAATAGTGGATTTGTAATATGTATGTATATTTATAATTTGTAATATGTGTGTACATTTGTAATTAAAATTATTATTCATCTTTTCCTATAGGCATTTTGTAGTATTTTTC